ATATTAACTGTACAAAGTTGTATTAAAAACTAAATAAAGTTAACAATGCTTATTATATCTACAACTTACAACATATTCTACATTTTGCTGAAGCAGTATTCCTAAACTATATAGTTTCAGATGTTTTTTCAGGCATCATTCAACATCTCTTTCACACTAACTGTAAAAAGTTGAATTAAAAACTAAATAATGTTAACAATGTTTGTTATATCTACAACTTACAATATATTACACAATTTGCTAAAGGAGTCTTCCTGAACTATATAGTTTCAAATGTTTTTTTCAGGAATAATTCAACATCTCTTTCACACCAATTGTACAAAGTTGTATTAAAAACTAAATAATGTTAACAATGTGTGTTATATTTACAACTTACAACATATATTTCAATTTGCTGAAGCAGTATTCCTGAACTATATAGTTTCTGATGTATTTTTCTGCCATCATTCAAGGACTCCTTCACACTAATTGAACAATGTTGTATTAAAAACTATGTATAGTTAACGATGTTTGTTATATCTACAACTTACAACACAATTTGCTAAAGCAGTCTTCCTGAACTATATAGTTGCAGGTTCATTTTCAGGCATCATTCAAGATCTACTTAACATTAATTGCATAATATTGTGTTAACAACTAACTAAAGTTAACAATAGTTCTTGTGTAGATAAGTTGTAACATATTCCAAATCATCATTGAAAAATAACTAAAGTTTAACAAATCTTGTTACATATATAACTTATAACATATTCGAAATAAACTCATTTCTTCAGCAGTTTTCCTAAAATTATCTACTTATATAATTTCAGACATCATCCAGCATCTCTTTCACATTTATCACATAATGTTGCATTGAAAACTAGTTAAAGTTAACAATTCTTGTTACGCATATAACTTATAACATATTTCAAGTTAACTATTTTTTTCAGTAGGTTTCATAAACTATCTTCTTATATAGTTTTACAATCAATTTAGACATCAGGATCTATTTCACAGGAATTGCTACATGTTCCAAATTTTCCATGTAAACCATCTTTATATGTTTTTTTCGGTTATTACGTAAATATGGTTATATCCAAAAAGGTACTATAGAAAACTCGTTCATATTTAAACAAATTTAGGATGTTTGAAAGTTTTTCAGATAATATTTTCATGATTTAAAGGAAGAATGGTTAATACAAGAAAGCTGAATGTGTCATAAATCCATTTTTATTGTTCATATTCAATTATTAATTAAGATTCGTGATTAATGAGTAATTATAAGAAATATCGTTAACTTAAATATTCATGACAAAATATTTTCAATAGAAATCTACATCTTATACAATCTTTTGATAAATTCTTGAAAAATTGTAAAGCAATCTGTAAAATCATCAAATTTTAGTAATTAATTAATTTCTGAGGTACATTTATAAAAAGATGCGTAATTAACACCTAATTAATGTATAATTATAAGTCTAATTAACATGTTCTAATTATGAAGTCCACAAATCTGTTCGTAGTTTCAGTAGAAAACACATAGTTTTGTATATTTGTTGATTTAATTAACTTACGTAATTATCGAGTAATTAAATGTAACGGGAAATTACTGAAAAATGTTGAAATCAAATGGATTTTTTCTAATTGTTTCATTATATTATTTTTCAAGCAATATAAAAATCTTTAACATGAAAAAAGTTATTTCTTACAATTACAGTTATATAGATTTTAAGGGTAGAGAGATGAAATTCACATTTAGTTTCCATCATCTCGACGTGTATTTCTTTGTTTCACACAAGACCTGTTGAACTAGTTACGACATAAATTGGTTTCTATTGTTACGTTCTGCGTTTTGTATTTATTGCTAAGATTCCGAGATACCATTGACCACAAAGTCTTTCTTCCATGCGTATCGCGCCGAGGTTTTACAGAATACGTTCTTATTGTTAAATCTTTCTTCACAATAGAGAGTGAGTCAGCATTCAAACGAGATGCGCGCTCTTTCGGATGCCTACATTCCTCCGCTTTCAAAATGTCCCGCCTTACCACCAAAACGCATCCTCTGCTAACCAAGACAATCCTTTTAAACTTATCTCACAAAGATGTACACATCATTCATCAATTCCTTCAGAAGGATTCCAAGCAATTGGTTACCATCACGAAACTCACCTATAAAGTAACAGTTGAAACAAATTTGTAATCCAATAATCATAAATTAATTTCTTACAACTTTCAGAACATTATTACTATTAAAAAACATATCCTGAACAAGAACGCTGCATATTCCTATAACGCATTGGAAAACTATAAAGATGTATTAAGTAAAACAGCAACAATCTCTTCAGGAATAGAGAGGTAATTTGATTAATACAATCATGAATAATTTAATAAATCTATACCAGTTTTGATTCTCTATTGGCAGGAGGTTTCTTGACAGGGAAAATCTACGAGATATGTGGGGCCCCAACCAGTGGGAAAACAAAGCTATGTACGAGCATCCTCTCCAATTACCTCAAAAAGTATTGCTCAAACTGCTTCTACCTTGATACCAAAAATGAGATACAATCTCACCTGAAATTTTTCCCGCAAAGAGATAGTCTGAAGAAGCTCCTAATCAAACAACTCTGGACCATACATGACTTAATCAATGCCCTATACGAGATTAAGAGTAATTTGAAGCAGCTCAAAGTCAGACTCATTGTTTTGAATTCTTTGCCTTGCCTATTCTACCAAATCGAGAGAAACAGAGCTAATACATTGCTGACACATGCTGTAAATATAATGAGATTCATCTCCAAAGAATACCACATCACTTTTATTGTGACAAACTTAATGACTACATGGGATAATGATCTGAGATTAGGTTGTGGACAATACTGGAAGACTGTACCAAATACTAGAATTAATATTTCTCAAGCCAATGATGAATATAGTTTAACAATTTTAAAAAGCTGTGATTTACGTGAAGGAAACGAAACGCTGATTAAGTTGTAATCAATTTTATTTTTATTAATTTATTATTTTTGCAAAATACTGCAGTCCATTTAAGTTGTTACTTTTTTAATGTTTTTATTATCAATTTGCTAATGCTATAATCATTTTTAAAAAACACTACTTTCAAAAGATGTGAAAAGTTTTTGTAAAAATTACATTACGTTATAAATAATATTAATATATTATAATTAATAAGACTACTGTGTTTTATTGTGTTGTTGCTTGTAGCTCCTCATTACTTTCTTTCCAGGTACTAGACCTTGAGTTAGGCCAGGTCTCTTTCGCTTCTGGTTGGCTGCTGTTGAATCATTTTTAATCTGCAGCAGCTCTTGTGCGCTGGGCTGTGTCAGCTCCTGATTCTGGCAGATCACTGTGTTCTCCACCCTATTCTCCAAACTAAGTTCCTCCTTGGTCTTCTGCAGATCCGAGTCATGTGCATACTTGCAATTGTGTCCAAACCTGCATCTTCCCTTCCTGTAATTCCAGCAAACCTTCTTCCCATTGATGACCACATTATCTTTCTTGCTGACCATCTTCACATGCTTCTCAAGGATGGCCTCCTCTGTCTGTTCAGCTTCGATGAAGGGGTTTGTGAATACTGAAGTGGTGGCTTTCACTGATTCTCCTGTGGCCCCAAGGAATCCAGGGGTCGGCAACTTTGGCTTAAGTGTTGTGGTTTCTGTGCAGCTGAAATGTATGGAAGCTGACCGATTTTTTGCATAGGATAACAGTCTCTAAACATCAACTATGCGTGCAAAACAAAAGTTGTTGTAGGGCTCTTTTGTTTACTTCGTTTGTTGTCTACTCTACTTTACCTTACGGCATCTTCTTTCGTGATCTCTTCGTCTGACAAGGATTCTGAGTGTGAAGATGACGAAGACGAGGAGGAATCTTCATAATCAGGTACCAGGGACATGTTTGTTATTGTAATTATTACAAAATAACAAATAAAGAGGTAAAGGTGTTTAAGGTTAGGATAGTTTTAGGTTAGTTTCTTGATGGCGCCAACTTTAAGCTTTTGATACCGCATGTTACATAAATTCCTAATAATGTATTTAGTACAATTCATCATCAAATATCATAAGTCTAATTAACATGTTCTAATTAAAATTAATTGGATATTTAAATAAATGCCTAAAACTACTTAATAATGTACTAAACTAAGTTAAACTATTAATAAAATCGAAAACAAATGAATCCAATTAAGTGAAAATATAATAAATTAGTATATTCTTTAAAATATGAATAAAACTTATAATATTTAATAAAAACTTTGTTTATTATTGTATTAAGTAATTGAAATTGTATCTAAAAACAGAAGAATTGCATTACTTAATAACAATTGTTACAATTGTAAAATTTTATTTGTATGAAATGGTAACGAAAATACTGGAATAAGATACTAAAAATAAACTATTTGAGGTATCAAATATGCGAAATAGATTGATTACCAAGAACTCTTGGAAAATGTGTTATCAGGAAGATAAAAAAAGCTTTATCTCCTCCGATTTGCAGTATATTTGTAGCGTTGGAAATATTTCGATCGTATTTGATATATTTGAGATAAAATCCAAAAACGATATAAAATTTAAACGTTTTACAAAGTATGCTTCAATATAGGACAAAGTATGTATTTTTTTAGGTAATTAACTTTTTGTTATCAAGAAGTATTTGCAAATGAATATAATTAAAAGTAAAATTTTCTAAAAATAGTTTCGAAAATTATCGTTTGAAAACACTTAAGAAAACAACTTTAAAAGAATATACAAAGTATGCTTCAAAATAGGAAAAAGTATGTATTTTTCAGGTAATTAGCTACTTATTTACGTAGCAAATTATTAGCATTATATTATTAAGAAGTATTTGCAAATGAAAATAATTAAAAGTAAAATTTTCTCAAAATTGTTTCGAAAATTATCGTTTGAAAACACTTTTAAATCAATATACAAAGTATGCTTCAAAATAGTAAAAACTATGAATTTTTTAGGTAATTAACTATTTAATTACGTCGCAAATAATTAACATTCTTAACATCAAGTAATATTTGTAAATGAAAATAATTGAAAGTTAAATTTTCTCAAAATTGTTTCGAAAATTATCGTTTGAAAAGACTTTTAAATCAATATACAAAGTATGCTTCAAAATAGTAAAAACTATGTATATTTTAGGTAATTAACTACTTAATTACGTCGCAAATAATTAACATTATTAACATCAAGTAATATTTGGAAATGAAAATAATTTAAAGTGAAATTTTCTCAAAATTGTTTGGAAAATTATCGTTTGAAAACACTTAAGAAAACACCTTTAAAAGAATATACAAAGTATGCTTCAAAATAGGAAAAAGTATGTATTTTTAGGTAATTAATTACTTATTTACGTAGCAATTGATTGCATTATGTTATCAAGAAGTATTTGAAAATGAAAATAATTAAAAGAAATTTTTTTTTAAAATTATTTCGAACATTATTGTTTGAAAACACTTAAGAAAACAGCTTTAAATCAATCTACAAAGTATGCTTCAAAATAGGAAAAAGTATGTATTTTTCAGGTAATTAACTACTTATTTACGTAGCAAATTATTAGCATTATGTTATCAAGAAGTATTTGCAAATGAAAATAATTAAAAGTTAAATTTTCTAAAAATAGTTGCGAAAATTATGGTTTGAAAACACTTAAGAAAAACAATATACAATAAAGAAAAAAGTAGTTCCTACAAAAGCCGTCGCAAATTGAATCGGCGTAAAATGAACCTATATTTACAGTTAGCCAACTATAGGGTTTAGTTCAATATAAGTGTACAAAACAGCAATTAATAAGCGGTATTTCACATCAGCGTTATCGTGAATCGGCGTAAATCAAACAGGCGCAAAGTTAACTTTAATTCAAATTTGTTAATTTAGTTGTATATTCTAACAACACTTTTACTATGAATCAACATAGTTTGATTAATAATAGCATTAGAAGTATTATTAATAGGATTTACGTCACATTATATCAGTTATTTCCAGTATTGATGTTGTTACGATAATTGCATTAATGCGTAGTATCTATTACTAATTATCTTTTATAACTGATTTAGTTTTTTTTAACATTAGAATTAATTAACAGAATTATATAAGAAAGATATTTTTGTAATTACATTTAAAATTAACAAATTTTTATACAGTTATAATAATACCTCGCATAGTGCGGCTTTGGATTCACTATAGTATGGTTTGAAAATGTCGAAACAAACTAAATTTTAATTGAGTAAAACATAAATAATTGATCGTTTTTTCTATTATATTCAAATTTCTTTTTGTGCTGTAGAAGTTTAAAGTTTCTCGATTAGTCCGGTTTCAAACAGTTAGAACGGATAATCCGCACTATTCGAGGTATTAATTAACAGAAAAGGTATAATTTACCAGAATCTGGAGCCAATAAAACGTAACTAAAAGATCATTAGTAATTTAGAATGTTTTTCGAATATTGTAATAAACGAATGAAATTATACTTCTAAAGGTTTAATTGGATATTAAAAAAGACAAACAAACAAAAAAAATACAATAGAATTGTTGTTTTTTTTTTTTAATTTACATATTTATTTAGTTAAGTAGAGTTGATACAGAAATTGCGAAGAACAACGTAATAATAGTAAAACTTAAAAATTAACAAAACTAACAGAAAGTCCAAGAGTGTGAAAGAAACAAAAAAAAAACGTATAGAAACCTGGTATTGTTTTGATGCACATGTAACAACAATCATAAAACACAAAAGAAAAATAATAACATTTAACAAAGTGGAGAAACAAATCGAGGCAAAATCAATCAAACTATTAATATAATTTATTTATTTAAAAACGCAATTAAAAACCCCAAAAAAAAAAAAAAATTTTTTGGATATTTTTTTTTCTTCTTTCCTTCAATTATTATGTTATTATTACTTTTTTTTACAATAAAATATATTTTCATCTTCCCATGCCAACAAAACTCGTCCTGATTACAAAAATATAAATATGGTTCACATTCACGTTCATCATCATCATCTCATATTTTTTTTTATTCCCCTTTTTTTTTTAAATCATTTTCCGTGTCTTCAGTGTAAACGCGACGTTTTGTAAATATAGTCCCACAATATTATTAATAATTAGTGTTTCTTTTTTTTTTTGTTTATTCTTACATCAAAAATTTTCTCGCGAAAATAATAACGAATCAAAGAGTAAATACAGTATAGAATATAATAACATGATAAGTGTATTTTTTCAACTTCATCTTTTGTTGCTGCTGTTGATTTCCTCATAATTAATTAATTTTTCAGTTTCGTAATATTATTTATCATTAAGTACATATATTTATTATAATTATTAATTTTTTTTTTTTCATATATATATATTTGTTTTTTTTTAATCACAATTAATTATTTAAATATAATTCTTCTTTCCTATTTTGGAAGGTAACAATTTGCTCTGACCGCAGGTTGAGGTCGGAAGTATATATAGTAAGTTTTGTGGTGACACCAAAGAACAAAAAAAAAAGAAGTAAATTTGAAGCAAGTTTCGTTTTAACTCCAGGTCATTTTCTAAATAAATAAATCCTAAGAGACGCTAAAAGGGTGGAAAAAAACAAAAGAAACGGTAGAACTAAACAACGACTAAATAGTATTGATGGGGTGTTTCATGTGTGTGTGTCTTTGTATTTATACACAGCTACGTTAATACTCTGAAGAAACTAGCTAAGGTTCGTCCGATGTTTAAAAACTCGCTAACAGTTATTAATGGAATCTAATTTAGTTTAAATATTAATTAATATTATTATTATTAATAATAAGATGTGTACCTTTGGGATTAGGCAACGTTTCTTCCGATATTCAGTTATTAATTGTTTGCTGCTGTTGTTTGCTGATCAAAATTTAAAACTGTACAAAAATAGAGTTAGGATGTTCTGTATCATCTATAAAGTTGCCGAATGGTTTTTGTGACGGTTCAGCATTTCAGAAGACCGGCGGAGCCGTTGATGTGCGGCTTGTTCTCGCTTAGGAGTTTGTAGACTTCTAAACCGTTCGGAAGACCGTTAGTCCTTGGCTCTGGTTGTTGTTGCTGCTGTTGCTGTTGTTGTTGCTGATCAGCATCTGCGGAGAGTTGAAGTGTAAGTTAGGGTTGAAATCTTGCAAGCAAATCCTTACCAGATCTCCAATACTTTTTTGATGTTTTCCAGTCCTCGCGCAACGACAGATTGTACATGGAGAAGTCCGAATTGCCGGTCACCTCCTTGACGATGTTCAGGAATCCCGGAAGGCATTTCCTCAGCGTGACCTCATCCAACGCTGAATACGTCTCGAGGAGCATCAGACCTTTGCACCTGGGATGCGTCGGCTCCTCGTAGATGTCCAACTGGAAATACTGATTGTTGACGAGGAAGCATCTGCGCTTCTTGTAAATGGTGAGATGCGATTTATCCTTCTGCGCTAACAGATTGATGTAATCCCTGTGGGTGATCTGCGTCTTAACCTCGATCACCTGACCTCCGGCCTGCCTCTGACGCCGCATCGTGTGGATATAGCTGAAATATCCTGAAACGCATTTCGTTTAGTTTCAATTCAAGTACAATGGATCAGATGATTTCGATACCCCAGGTGATATGTGTTTTGGGTTAGTAAGAGACGATGGAGATTTTAGTCGAAATAAATCCATGCACTTCGTGTTCCCAATGTATTTACAAACTCAAAGGTAATATCCAAGTATATTTTAACAAACGTACATATTGAAAAAAAAAAAAAAACGAAAATAAATCATAATTTAAATACGTAAAATGAACGTAAACGCTATTTCATAAAACGAAACAATATAAATATAAGATATAGATTCATACCATAATAATTATAATAATAATAATACAAACATAGTTTTAAAAATTAACAATATCTATGGCCGAAATAACATTGATTATTGAAAGAAAACAGAAATCATAATTAGGAGAAGAAAAAATATGAAACTTTTTTCTCAATCTCAGATGTAGCGAACTTGTAATACTTTTCTTTTCTCACCTTTTTGGCCCCTTTTCCGTAGCCTGACCTGGTTGGGGGAGTTCGATTGGAGATACGTGTGGACCACCTCGAAGTCTTGGAAGCGCGGGAACTTCTCGTCGGCGGGCAGAGGACCGTTGACCAGGAACTTGAGTTTTCTGGAGTTCTTGAGGAGACGATCGCCTGTGTCCAGACCCATCTTCTGACATACGGAGCCGACCATTCTACGCATCTTTCCTTCGAAATCTGTTGAATTGTCGATCACATCGTAGTACGGATGACCGACCCAGGCTGTCGCAGCGTTGTGATCCAGCTCCTTCGCAAGTTCGACTCCTTCTGAACGACACGAATGATCCTGAAAACACACATAGGAAAAGTTTACCATTAAGTAATCAATGTTTTATATTTCAGTTTCAATCTTGAAGATCAATAAATGAAGAAGAATAATAGTATCACTGTTTTGATCAAGTCAAAACCTAGTAAGTTTGATACATCTACCAATGAAGAATTATGGATAAATACTGCATGAATATTGTTGTCATAGACAAAAGACAAGAAGATTTAGTTAGGAAATTGATGCAAAGTAAGTGTAAAAGTAAATATCTTACAATGTTGAAACGTAAATTAAGTTTTTGCCTATCAAAGTTTATGCATTTGGGTTCTCTCTTTCCACAATTATAAGTTTCTGTTGAAATTTCATAATGCAAAAATATGTTTACTCACTTCGGTCGTATAGAATTCCTCTGCTCCGTTTGCCGCCGAGACCATGTGGATGATCTGATTGTATCTGTTGTCCCTCAGCTCGACATCGTTCCAACCGTTGTCGCGCTTGATCTTCTCCCATTTATCCTTCGAGATAAAAGCTGAGGCATCCATCGCGCCGCGATCGCAGATGATGAGGCAGTTCCTCTTGCACGTCCTTCCAAGCTCGAAAAACGTGTTCTCAATCTGAATCATTGTCTTCAGCAAATTTTCTTGAAATACCAGAGCTGCAACAAACAAATAAAACATTGTATTAAAGAGAAATAGTAAAATCCAATTTACAGTTGAAGCAATATCTAAGTACAAATAATAATGGGGGGGAGTCCTAGCTGAGTACTCCTCACCATCATTCGTTGGTGAAGCAGTTGAAAGGCAATGTTTGCACGAACTGTTTTTCTTCATCTGATCACCTGCAGCATCAAGAAATGAACGAATTAATTCCTATTTGTCAATTCAATATGCATCAGATTCTGTGTAATTTCCAATTGAATAATTTCAGCGTTTTCGATTGATTAATTGATCAAATTCATAGTTTTTGATAGAATAATTTCACGGTTTCAATTGAATCATTTCAGGTTTTCCATTGGATAATTTCGGGGTTCTCCTGAATACCTGCAGCATCAAAGAAATTCGATTCTGTGGATAATTTCAGGTTTTTGATAAAATTATTTCAGGTTTTCAATTGGATAATTTCGGGGTTGGCTTGATCCCCTGCAGCATGAAAGAGATGAACGAATGAATTCCTAATTATGAATTCAATCTGCATCAGATTCTGTGGATAATTTCAGGTTTTTGATTGAATAATTTCAGGTTTTCGATTGGATAATGACAGGGTTCACCTTCGAACGAATTGATTATCGGTTTCCAAACTAATTGGACGTTGTCGTGTGCAGACGGAATCCGGTGAAGTTACGTGGATGGTCTTCATTTTGCACGCGCACGAAGGCCATATTATGTAAAATGCCATTGTCTTAATGCGACACATTACGTAATCCATTTCGGTTATTGCTGTCACGCGAATCGATATCTGCACCACACACAACTATCCCATCAATTCGACCTCAATGCACGAACATCTCAGCTCAGCTCTTGTTTTCTCATCCATTTATGAAACTGTTAAATTCGTGAACTAGACATGAAATTTACTGATCAAATTTGAGATTTTCACATTTACTTATTCTCAAGAAAATTTAGATGCTACAGGAAAGTTATGCCACTTTAACTATTGGAATTATAGCTTTAATTGCATTATTACAAAAAAAAAAACGTTAATATCTATAAAATAAAAGTGTTTGGACCATCAAATTTAAGGTATTATTAGGATAAAACTTGTAATTCTTCAATTTCTACATAAAAGTATAAGATTAAGCTCTTTTGTAATTATAATTAGAGGTAGGTCAAAGCATTTTGTTTTATAGGTATTTCAGAGAGAATTGAGTTTCTCTCCTCTTCACACCTAAAGTGGAAATGTTTCTCTCGTACCGAAAACCAGTTTCACGGAGAAGCACAGAGAGAGAGATATTTTTAAAATAGAATCAAGAGCTGTATTTTCGGCCGGTGGAATTCCCTAGACCCCAAGTGCGAGCCTCTCAAACGACTACGAAACCATAACAACAAGAGTATTGTTTATTATTACTCTTGTTGCTATGGTTACATGCTACTTCCGATCTGATTTATAATCAATTTTGAACTTTGATAGCTGTCACATGGCTCTGATGTTCAATGTTTATGTTTATACATGTTTTTTATTGTCTCCCAATGAAAATCAAATAAATATTAACTGAGAATCGATAGAATTTATACCAACTCATTCAATCACTTCAATTACTTGGATGAGTCAGAAATTTTATTTAGAGAATAACATGCACATCAATTGTACATTCTGAGAATTATTTTTGAAACGTAAAATTAATTAATTGAAACTGTAAATGCGACGATTTGTAATTCAATCTAAATATAGAATCGATTTAATAATTTCATTTGATTTAATGGGATTTCTCCTTAAATTTTCATGAAAATTGACAATAAAGACAATTTGCACAAGTTTTCATAGTCTTAATATTTAATTTGTTTAACAATAAAGCTTGAAAGTTTGTACAATTTGTCAAACTACTTTGATTTTCACAATTGTTCACAAGGAATTTGATATACTCATAATATTTAACTTGTTTAACATTTACAATAAAGTTTGAAAGTTGATACAATTTGTCAAACTACTTTGACATTCACAAGTATTCACAATGAACTTAATATAGTCAAAATATTTAACATGTTTAACATTGACAATAAAGTTAGAAAGTTGGTACAATTTGTCAAACTACTTTGACTTTCACAAGTATTCACAAAGAACTTAATATAGTCACAACTATTTAACATGTTTAACATTGACAATAAAGTTAGAAAGTTGGCACAATTTGTCAAACTACTTTGACTTTCACAAGTATTCACAATGAACTTAATATAGTCATAATATTTAACTTGTTTAACATTGACAATAAAGTTAGAAAGTTTGTACAAGTTGTATATAACTTTGACTTTCACAAGTTTTCACAATGAACTTAATATAGTCATAATATTTAATTTGTTTAACATTGACAATAAACCTTGATAGTTAGGACAAGTTGCCAAATAACTAACTATAGTCATAATATTTAACTTTTTAACATTAACAATAAAGCTTGAAAGTTTGTACAAGTTGCCAAATTAGTTTGACATTCACAAGTTTTCACAAAGAACTAAATATAGTCATTATATTTAATTTCTTTAAAATTGACAATAAAGTTTGAATGTTTCTACAAATTGCCAAATTACTTTGACATTCAAATATAGTCATTATATTTTACAAAGAACTATATATAGTCATAATATTTATCTTGGTATTCATATTATAGTACTTTCAAGTAACCAAATACACATATTCCAAACGTTACTTATCAAGTAAAGCGTAATGTTTTTTGTACTTTTTTTTTCAAAAATCACCAACCAATAAATAAATATTCTTTATAAATAATTTATAAAAAAAAATATTTTTCCGTATTTATAATGATTTATCAAGTATTATTTATAGAACGATAATTAAAATAAAAAAAGTTCAATAATAATCACTTTTAATTATAATTTAATATCACATATTTATATACAATTTATTTATAGAACAATAATTGTCAATTCCATTTTTATTTATTTTTTAAAATTTGTCAATTTTAATCAAAAACTAAGCATGATATAATAAGTTATTAAATATACTTTTTAATATTTGTATAATTACTGGTAATTAAGAAATTAACAAAATTTTGATTATCTGAAGAAGAAAACATATAATTTGTGGTGTTATTGAGAAGGTATTAACTATATTTTCTATAATTTCTTTAATGGAATAATAATTGTTAATTACTTATATTTTTGTTCTTTCTATAAACTTTATAATTACTACTAATTATCAAATTAACGAAACTTTAGTAATATAAAAAAATTACATAATTTGATATATAACGAAGATATTTTAAGTGCGGAAGACACGAAAGTTATAGAATTGAGCGTGAGAGGATGAGGCTAATTAAATTTACACGCAATGAAGAGCACCGGTCTGGATGGAATTAAAGTTAGATCCATTTTCCGGGGTTGTTTTCAAAGTGTAATTATTTTTCGTTGTCGTCGTCATCGTTGCTGGGGTAAAATTACTTATTCCCTGTGTTTGTTGCAGCTGCGCGTCAACTTATTAAGCTGGAAATAATCATTACGTCATGACCCTGCAGCAAACGGATGACATCACACCAAACAATGAAAATTTCTGATTTATTAAATTTAAAAAAAAATGTGTTATTATTCACATAAAATCCATAAAACTCACTGGAAATTTCTTACAAAAAATATACGAATTTTTTCAATTTAATTGTTAAATTTTCTTAGAAATACTTAATTAATACAGATGTAAAAAAAATTATAAATATTTCATAAGTTTTCAGTATTTTTTTCTGTATTTTTCTTATATATTAATTATTCATTTAATAATGAAATAAAATAGAGACATTTTTAATTATTTAGATTCTTCACATATTTTATTGTATTGCTTTTATAAAATATGAAAATTTGAAATTGAAATTTCTCAGAAATTAAATTAAATTTTCTGATTTATAAAAAAATATCATTCACATAAAATTACAGAAATTTCTTACAAAAAAAAATACAATTTAATTATTAATTTTTCAAGGAAATTCTGTAATGCCATTTTTTATTTAGATTTTTAAGTAAATAATTTGAATAATAAACATGTAAAAAAAAATCATAAATATTTCATAAGTTTTCAGTAATTTTTCTTGTTTTTTTTTTATATATTAATTATTTAATTATGAAATAAAAAAGAGAAATTTTAAATATTTTTTCTAAGAAATTAAAAATTTCAATTTAATAAATTTTGCAAAAAGGCAAACAAAAATCAAACTTAAACATAAAACTTATTATTGTACTTTCCCCATATAGAAAATTCTATTTGAAAATTTCTAAAATCAAATAAATGAAGAATATTCATAAGTATCATCAGTTGATTCTTTTCCTTTTTATACAATAAGGTCAAAACTTTGACTTTTATCTGCTAATAAAAAGAGAAATCATGTTGAAATTTATAGAATTAAATAAATTTAACTAAAAACACATAAGAATCACAAGCTAATTAACTTTATATTATTAAAAAATTGTAAAATAATTATTTTATCTCATTAATTTTTCAGTAATTTTAACATCAGATGTATTGTTTCTTTGTTACATTTAATAATTTAATAAATTAAATTATAATTAAAGAGATTTTACCATAAATTTTAATTAAGCTAATTATGATTTTTTTTAAACTAATATTATAATATTTTTTTACAACTAATTGATTTTAACATCAACATTTAATATGTTTTCAATTTTGACCCAAATTAGTAAATAAATAAAGAAAGAAATACTACAATTATTACATAATTACTACTAAACGAATTTAGTAATTATTGTGTTGCAATCAATAATTCAATGTTTATTATAACGTTTTGGGATTATTTTTCGACTATGATTATACAGAAATCATGTTTCTTGGAAAAAACTCTAAGAAGTTTCATCCTTTTTTACTCGACTCGATTCAATTAAAATGTTTCTGTTGGAACAGCATCAAATCGCATTCCCGGTGATTCAGAATTATCGCATGTTTATGCTTCACCCAAGATTCTGACATGAATTAATCTCGTCGACGATGATGCAACCCAAATACTACACACGTTCAATATCAAAAAAAAATACGTATTTTTTTCCATTTGATTCATATACAAGTACGCATTAAACTTTTATATTCGCAATTGAAACTGTTGACCTTTAATAATATCCTCGTCGTATTCAATTATACTGCTGTTTCACCTCCTCCTTCATGAAATCTGGG